GACGAGCGGAGGTGCGTCAGTATCTGGTGCTTTAAAACCAGATAAGAATAACTCACTGAGTGTCCAGCTGCCGCGCAGGCACCTCTGCAGCACGGGCAGCGCGCGCAGCAGCAATCTGTACGTGACACACAAGTAGGAGCTACAAAGCGGCATGAGAAGATGCTAAAGTGGGTGGTTTTCTCCTGGCACTACTCTAAACCAAGTGTCTTACAAATTTGACTTCTATGGGTTGCTAGTCTGCCTGTTGTTTTTCCCAGAAACCTTGTTTTACTACTCAGTTAATGACAGGGTATTAATAAAGTATTTTCTTTGCAAAAAAAAAAAAAGAAAGTATAAGGACAGAATAATAAAAACATAAAATGCTCATAGCAGCTCTTCCAACCCAAATCAAGTTATTTTAAAAAATTGCAATTGCTTCCAGTTTTATATGCATTCACAAACTACCTGAGTCATTTGTACATTTTTTTTTTTCCCATAATTACTCTCTGTGCTTTGCAGAACAGCATCACATGCCAGAAGACAGAAATTTTCACAAAAGAAAATGTCAACAGTCACAAACTTCTGCCGTGCCCAGGATTAGCACAAGCGGCATTAGCAAAGTGCTGCTGCTGAAGGCACCTCCTGGGTTCTTGTTTCATGCCAACGACAACAAGCCCTTGTGCAGCTGCCGGTGAAGTCACAGCACGACAGATTTTACAGCAGCAATGTGCAATATTACCAGTCAGATGCCTGCTCTTAGAAACTACTTGAACACACACAAGGCTGTACTGCCTTGAAAAGGCCTCAAAGCTTTCAGATATTTAACTGCAGCTCAAGTGTCATTGTGGTCCTAGGACTCAGGAAGTGCAAATATTAATCAAAACTTGAGTTACACCCTTCAGGAAAGAACAGTCGATGAGCAACTGATGGAAACATTTCAGTTCCACCTTAGGAAAATTCAAGGAAAGCAATATAATTCAATCCTCCTGAATAGAGAGAATTAGATACAGGGCAAGACTCCAAAATACTGAATCATTGTGTAAGTGATGTACCAAAACACTAGACATGCTGGTCTGATAGGGAATCTAAGTAAATGTGACACGTAGAACATGGGAAGTTTTGTTCTGGTTTTCTAGTTTTGAGCAACTGCAGTTGTTTATCCAGCTATTATACCATCTCCAGACAAGCAGACCGGGCTGGCAGCTCACCTTAGACACATGCAAGGCAGAAAATCATCTGTGGAAAGCCAGCTGAAGGAGGCCAATGAAATGGCAATAAGCATTAAATCTATCTACATACCCATATATACATGGAGAGGTTTGGCTGAAGAGTACAGAGGGAAGGAAGGGTCTGACCCAATCCAGGCCATCCCGTCATTTTCTTCTTATCATTCTCAATGTTTTCTTCTTTCCCTCAGTTTACAGACCTGCTCCACCGCTTCTGCTCTGTACCTACAGCTGAGATACCCACCGTGTCTGCAACAACCCAGGTCCCCTCCGGAGCAAGTGCTTCTTTTCCTTCTTGAAGCCTCGCCCTACAGTCTTTCACCCTGCATCTCGTGGCCGGGTCTTACTGTTAGCACATCTGCAGTGGCCCTACTGGCAAGAACAGGCAGCGTCAGCCTAAGGAAAACATGTGATTGGGCAAACGTCCTCCCATTTTGACTTCCAGGTCTGCACTTTAAATTCTTCTTGGCCACGCGCTTTCCTACTCTGCATGGACCGACTGGCATGGCCAATCTGACTGATCTGAAGCATTAGGTGCTTCTTCACCCTGCCCCTTCTCCTCCCCAGAAGCCACCAGATGTGGCGTACCAGCCCACTTGGAGCTCACAACAGCAAAGACAGCTGTCAGTAACCGTGACGACATCTGTTCTGCTAAAGCTGTCCCAAACCGCACATACAAACACAGTGAAGACAGTGCAGAAGGAGGATGATGCTTTGCTGCTCCTTTAAATAGAGCACTGTTCGTACAGGAGCGATGGATTTTGACCATGATTCTTTCACTGGTGAGGACAGCGTATTCTGGGCACCAGGTTTATTTATACTCCAGATCTAGCTAATAGGAATTTGGGTCCAATCCAAACGCTCTTGATATAATAAAGTCTTTAGCCAGAGTTAAGCAGCATTTGAAGGAGCAAGATCAAGGATGAAGCTTAAATGCTGCTGCTGCAGTTATACATCTTTACTTGCCCGAGTGTCCAGTCATCCAGACACCTTCAGCCCACAAGATGAATATGCCATGCTCACATTATTTACTCCAGCCAGGCTTGCTGGGATGGAATAACTCCTCAAGCAAATCAAGTCCTTTGTCACACTCAAGCAAGCGGTGAAGTCCCATGACAGAGGGGTAAAAAAAAAAAAAAAAAATCACTTTTCCCCCCTCAGGATTTACACGAGCACTGACCATCATAGTCCCACTGCTTAAAATAGCTTAGAGAAGAACAGTCTACAGCAGGAGTGGTAGCGGCTTGTGTACACACAGTCCTTCTAGCATGAAAGAGAGCAGAAAAATTTAGGGGACAACATAATGAATCACAGTGGATAAAGCAAGACGTTTGACAACAAGACTCTTCCTAATGATTAGTTATGGTTTTCAGACAAAAAGTTAATCCCTTCCCTTGTTAACAGCATGACAGATGAGGTCTTGTCTAGATAGTGATGACCAGAAGGTCGTGAAACAATTCTAGATCTTATTCAAGTTGCTGGAGTTTTCCCACGGATTTCACCAAGGGCAGTGTAGTAGGCAGCATCACCTGAAGTTACAGATGGTATTTCTATTCCCAGTCACACCACCATCCTGTATTTTAGGTACCAAAGTTTTAGGCAAAGTTTTGACTGTTTGATGAGAAAGGGAGTCCCATCCCCCTCCATGCTTGCAACCAGTAAAACCAGAACATGGAGGCATTACAGAGAACCAGCTCCCACGTGTATGTTCCCACCTGATGTCCTCAAAGAGGCTGCAGGTGAAGCCCAAAAGAATTTAATTTGATGATACAGGCCATTTCCCAGCAACATACCAACATTTCAGACACAAGCCAAACTCCAAGTGCTGTGAGAAATGTTGAAATACCGTTCCCCCGTTAAAGACAGTTTTTGGTACAATCATTTTGAAGAGCCATAAAGAAAGTGCCTTTGTAAGAAATCAAGACCAGAGGGGTCAGAGAAACTGCAAGGAAGCAAAGGGCCTCCCAAGGGCCCTTAACTGTTATGGGTAACTGCTGGGCATCAGTACCTAGATATGATAGATATAATCTCAGTCCCAAGAAGAGTTTTAGTTCTTTGAACCAAGAGATATTTCAAAGAACCACAAAGTCCAGGAGCTATTAGCCTTCCAGCCACACAGCATTAGTTTTGACACAAATGAAGTATCCTCAATACTCGCCACATCCTAGCTGTAAACGGCACTAATACGCAACTACAATTTTATGAGCTCTTTGAGCAAGCGATGCTTGCTTCCTCCCCATGTCAACTGCTTTGTGAGTACAAAGCGCCTCTGAGAGCAGGCGCTCCAACTCCCATGGCCCCCCCAAAGGTTTGGAACTAAAGGCTCATCGCCCCTGAAACTACCACCACCAACTAACAGCCAGGCATTCAAGTTTAACAATTGTCCACCTCAGTTTTTAAGGAAAACCAAATGCAAAGAAACAGTGGAACATAGGTTAAAAAACACAAGGAGGTTTTCCATGGGAAGCATTAGTCCACCAAGCACTCACCTGATACTGGAGGCAAAGTTATGTCTCAAACTGTGTTAAGAGATCTCTTATTTCTGGAGTCAGATGCTCTACTGCCTTTGCAGCTTCTGTGATAGCTTTCCGATACATCCCTTTCTTCTTGCGATTAAATCTCAGTTTGAAAAATTCAGAGAAAGGAGAGAGTTTTGAAACAGATAAGAATGAAGTCGTTGGAGAACCAAACCATGATACTTTAGCTTCTCGCCACGAAGGTTCCCCATTTTCCTTCTGGCTAAGGTTTATGTCAAGAACACGTGCCGGCCACCATGGAAAACCATGAATTTTACCCCAAACAATATCCCCCACTGAAACAGTTCTTCCATCTTCTGTGACACATTTAGACACACTTTGGGTATGAAGTCTAACTGTTAGTGGCGGCACAATTTTACGCTCATCTTTTGAAGATGAAGAGACGGATGCATCATCACCAGGCAAAAAGTCACACATTTCTGGTGATGTTACTTCTGAACTAGAAGACTTGGATTCATCTAGACTGTCATTACTACACACTGATAAGCTGGAAGAATCTGCTTTTCTTTTACGATAATTCATAAGGAAAGCCAAGTTATCATGTCCATCTTTACCTTGGGGAAATCTTTTAAAGTCCTCATCTTCACCTGAACTCCCTGAAGATATCTCAGCTAAACTTCTGTCTGTGGATTCATCTTTGTAAAATGCGCCAGGATTGGACTCCCTGCTGTTCTGAAGGACATTTATTTCGTCAATAAGTTCTGCCTTATAAATTGAAACACTCTGACCATCATTCATGCGATGGGGCTTCAGCCGTATCTTTGGGGGTGGGACATCCGCACTGGAATGCACCGGCCGTGTGAGCTTCAGTTTTGGAATGGAAGCAAGCTGGCTGCCTGCTGACTTGTCCATTAAACATTTGGTTTCTCGACACCGTTCGGAGTCTCTGGTCTCCTCTTGGTCCTCCCCTCCATTCTGCAACATTCGGTCTGGACAAAACGGTTTGACTGAGCCATGAACGCGGGAAGGGATTTTTACAACTTCGCCTTTCCCTTGTGGAGTACTGTAGGATATTTTTATAACTGGCGTTCGATGTACTAGTTCCCCAGAAAATTTGTCATCCTCTCTCTTTTCTCTTTTGTTCCTTTTCTCCATGTAGTCGGAGTCACTGTGCTTTTTCTGCTCTTTGTCCTGAATGCTCAGCTTCCTCCTGGTTTTAGCGTTCTGCCTAGCTGTGTTCGCATCCTCGGGGTTCAGAGTGTTTTTACACTTCTCACAGAGCACCTGTCTTGGCCGCAGCCTGATAGTGCTCATGATAAGCCTTCCCGGGTCTCTATTCCGCGACAAACGCCTCCTCGTCCTCTTTATAGTCCGTGGCGGTGGCTGAGGAACCCACTGGTTGTACGTGTGCCGCAGCCATAGCGGACGAGGAAAGGGAGCTCCCTCGAAGTAGGGGGGATAAGGAGGAAGGCTGCCAGGCGGCGGGGGAGGCAGGAGCGGGGGTACTTGCTCATCGCCGTTTCCTTTGGGAGGCTTTTCACCAGCGGACTGCGGCTCCGTCTTGCCCTGCACAGCATCTCCACTGTCAGCAACTCCGTTAGCGTGAGCATCAGCAGGAGGGTCCTCGTGCTTGGGAAAGGAGGACGGGAGACAAAACAATCCGGATCTACAA